TAGATGCATATCTGATTGCCTCTCTTCCAAAGACTAATCAGAAACTCCAAAGAATGCAACCTTCGTCTCTCACCTGTGTGTGACCTGGAACCTCCCTTCCAGCTTCCAGAGTCTTCCTGCCTTGTCCTGCTTTTCCAGACCGAACCAATGTACTTCTTACATATATTGATTGATGTCTCATGTCTCCCTAAATGTATAAAACTAAGCTGTGCCCCAACCACCTTGGGCACATGTCAAGACTTCCTGAGGCTGTATCATGGGCGTGTGTCCTCAATCTTGGCAAAATAAACTCTAAATTAACTGAGACCCACCTCAAATTTTGGGGGTTCACAGAGGCTATGCTCTAGTTTATCTTTTAGCGCCATGTGCATTTCCTGTTTTGGGACTCTTAACTTTAAATAGAATTTTCAATGCCACAAAAAAAGTAGCACCGGAATATAAATTTCCTCAGCAAGGCAATTTACTTCTATAGAAGGGTATGGCTCACAGATAGAACAATGGTGAGCCCACACCTAGACAAGGAAAGGAAGGGGTACTTATGCCTGATGGAGGTCGCCACTACTGTTGTGTTTTTCCCCTATTGGCTAGGGTTAGACTGCATAGTCCAGTATAATTCCAATTGGCTATTTTAAAGGGAGCAGGGGTACAAGTCGGAGTAGCAGGGTGGGTAGTTTGGAAGGAAGGATGATTATGGGCAGGTCAGAGCAGGTGACTGGAGCAGCTGATCCGGATGAGTCAGGACGGGCTAGGGGACTGGGGGAACAGATGTGAACCACTGATTAGAACTGGTGGAAAAGGTGGTTTACTGGAACTACAAGGAAGTTAAACTTTAAAGAATTAAAGAATAAGAGAGCTGAACATACTGACATACTGACTCTTCGAAGAGAAACTTGGGGTTCACTCTATCTTAACACTTGGTGTCTAGGATATCACTTTTGCCTTGTTCCTGTAGCCTGTTTTTCCCAGTGTTTTGCTGGCTTCTCCTTGGCATACCTGAGTGTTCACATTTATAAAAAGGTGAAGGTAAACCAGGCAACATATCAGGACCTGGTGTCTACCAAAAAAAAAAAAAGGCCAGCCAAGGTGGCATGTGTCTGTAGTCCTAGCTACTTGGGAGGCTGAGGCAGGAGGGTCTCTGGAGGCAAGGAACTCAAAGCTGCGGTGAGCCGTATAATTGTGCCAGTACTCTCCAGACTGGGCAACAGAGCAAGACCTTGTCTCTAAAAATAGTAACAAAAAAAAAATTTTTTTTTAAGTTTTATTTTATTCAAGATGGGGTTTCACCATGATGGCCAGGCTGGTCTTGAACTCCTGACCTCAGGTGATCCACCCGCCTTGGCCTCCCAAAGTGCTGGGATTACAGGCATGAGCCACCGCGCCCGGCCAACAAAAATTTTTAAAAGATGTAAGAAATAGCCAGGCGCGGTGGCTCAAGCCTGTAATCCCAGCACTTTGGGAGGCCGAGGCGGGTGGATCACGAGGTCAAGAGATCTAGACCATCCTGGTCAACATGGTGAAACCCCGTCTCTACTAAAAATACAAAACATTAGCTGGGCATGGTGGCATATGCCTGTAGTCCCAGCTACTCAGGAGGCTGAGGCGGGAGA